AAAAAAAAAATCGGATTTATCATCAAAGCTCAATTGGAGTGATCTGATTGACGTGCAGAGTTATGACGTGCAAAGACGGAAGCAAACACAAACGTATCAGACAACGAGTGGAGTAATTATGTTGATGCGTCGTCTATTCTCTTGACCCCAGCGTGTCCACTTGTGTGAGTGAGTCATTCTCGCAGAGAGAAACAAACAAGCACCTTCTTTGATTTATTTTCTAAAGATCTCTCTCATGAATAGAGCCGTGCATTAATTACAGTCTGTTTTCTCTATCGTGTATTTCCAAAAGCGTGTTAATTCTTTATTTAAAGAAGTCTCACTCCTGGCAAACTGTCTGGAAACTTTGTCTAGCTCTTTGCAACTCTGTTCCGCTGTCTCAATAAGTGAAACATTACCAAAGCCCTTGATTCGGTTACAAAATTGTCTCGCACGGCTCCCAGCACTACATACTGTGCCATGGAAATGAACAAGGCATCACACAAATGGATTCCACCTACTCGTCTCACTTCTCCTCCTGTTCTCTCCCCCCCCTCTCTTTCTTTGTAGTTTTCTCTGCCTCTCACTGCACTTTCTGTCTCCGCAGGAACAAAAGGATCAGAGTTATTCGACTGTGAAGACAGCCGCCACACGGATCAGCGTCAACAACCTCAAACCTGGCACCACATATGTCTTCCTCATCCGCCCTTTCTCCACGCCGGCCCCCTCTTCACCCCTGTCTTCCTCCCCTCTATCATCCTCCTCTGCGTCCTCCGCCACTTCCTCCTCGTCTTCGTCGCTGTCCTCCTCTTTGTTGTCCTCCTCCTCCTCCTCTCCGCCACCCATCGACTATGGAGCGTACAGCGCTCCCCTGGAGCTGCAGACACTTGGTGAATGTGAGTAGCCGTTTTACGCCCCCCCCCCCATCCCTTCTTCTCCTCACTTTCTCTTCACTCCCTCCTCTCAGCACCGCCACGCACAATGGGATAGGGGGGGGATTTGTGTTGTGCAGGCACCTGGCCAGCCCACACAATAAAGTGTGCTGCTAGAGTGAGAGAGATGGGGAGAGAAGGGGCCGGGAAGTGACTGTCTGAGATTATGTGTGAAGATGCAAGATTCTACTAGTAAACTGTGAAATGGTTCTTCTTTGTGCGTGTTGATACCGTGTACCTCTGGGTGTGGTTGGGACTCTGCGCGTGTGTGTGTCTATTTATGTGCAAGTGGGTTTCAAGCCTTGTACTTCTCATGAATCCTTTTGTTTTAAAGTGTTTTAGTTACCCAGGAAAGGGATTTGTTCACAGTGTAACTCGCCCGAGACCACCATCTTGTACAGTTGGCCAAAGACCAGCTCTACCAAAGATTATTTATTCATTTTTAAGCAGAAGGCGTCTCGTAGTTCTTTGTTTTGCTTCAGGGTGAGGGCTCTTAGTTGCAAGATAACTTTTTTTTTGGACAATGCATATTCAGTTTTCTTTATTCGCCCTCAGGCTGGATCAAGAGTCAAATGATGACCGGACACATTCACAAGGCAGCAACACAGCAGCCTCTAGTGGCCGCGTGCAAAACGCAAACAGATTTTAAGCAACATTCACAATACAATCGTGTGATTGGTACATATAACTGTCAAGTGAATAATGCATTCATCAAGTATAGGTAGTTTTGGGTTGATTGTAAGGAAACAATAAGAGTTGGCAGGTGTACAGCTGCAATACAGTGGTGTTGAAGATTAATATTTAGTTTTGTGAAGAAATCGAATGGCCACTGGATGCTGTGCTGTGTGCCAAGATAGTATAGTATTGCTCATCCGTTGAAGTTCAAAGTTAAGTTCTGACCTTGGAAACAGCAGATGACAAAACTATTGCTATTTTCAATAATTGTGCAAGTCAACAAAAACCGTAATTTTTAAACCAACATGGATGACAAGTCCTTGAATTGCTTGTAAAAAAATCTACAATTCTATGACAACTGGCAAACTTGCAAAACAGCCATCTGCTGATGAAGATGATGTCTTTCAAAGTCGTATTACTACAACAGTATCGTTTGCATTGCTGAACCAAATGGTGTCTTATATTATTGTGTAATTTCTGTTCCTTTGAGTCTTTAGTGAAGCAAACGGTGTGATATAGGAGGGTCAAGTCTAATATTAATCATGCTTGGGGACGGCGACTCTTTTGAGAATTGGAAAGCATCAGTTTACCCTCCACTCTAATCAACTTCTTATGAAATTCATTCGACCCTGAAGTTCATCGCCTTATTATTTGATCTCATCTCCTGTTCTTGTTCGCATTTAATATACCAACACGTCTTCATACCTACATGACAGAACAGGTTGTTTGACAAGGTTGTGTGACCGTTAGAGAGCATCAGCTAAAGGCTCACGTTGTTCAAAGGGTTCACTTTTATACGCGTGGCAAACATTAGGATTTCAAACAAAACTACTTGGTAAAATTTAGGAACAGATTATTGTTTGGGTTAAAATATGTTAATTTGTTCCATTACTTATGTAATGTTACGCATGTGACATTAGTGATGGAAGTTAAGTCCATAACGCAAGTAAATTTACCTACGTAAGTTGAAACATGGGACACGAACAGTGGTCTTCTGGGTGAAAGTCCTGTCTTTGTTTGATTGTGAATAAGTGTTTGTTACATAAGTACGGTTACGTATGTAAGTTATGTAAGGGAAGTACTTAAGCTGCTTATCAATTAACGAAAATAGGGGTCGTAAAAATCTGCTTGCAGCCGTGTTTTTTTTGTTGTTTTTTTGGGAAGGACGGTCTGAATATACAGTAATTGAACATATGTGCACCGCAAGACGCTGGTGTGACAAAATATGTTCTAATGGTGTGATGCCTGCGGTTCTTTGCCCAGCTAACTGTTGCACACCCATTTCAGGTAAGGTGTGTGTTTTTGCCCATATTTGTAATCGGTGTGTTTTGTCATTTCCAGTGGCGCTGGCGTCCAGTGAACAGAGTCCAGTGGTGATCATCGTCGTCGTGTCCGTGGCCGCCCTCATCATGCTGCTCTCCATGGGAGTTGGCCTGCTCATCTGGAGGAGGTAGATACTTAAACACGGACGTAAAAACATGCTTTATCCACCTTACACTTCATTCATTCTGTCGACTTTTAATTCCCTCGGCACGTTACTCAAACGCACACTGACGCGCTCATGTGTGCAAACACTCGATCATGGACTCAATCACATATTGAGTCAACTGTCACATGATACTCCGTTCTAATCCAGATTACAGTAATCCAGTGACAGGAGGAAATCCCTCTGTGAAAAGAATCTGCAGTAGCGACGAGAGAATGACTGAAATTACACGATAACAAGTCGTTTAATATGCGACATAAAGAAGTGCGCACGATAATGGTGCTGTCTGTGGCAGGGTCAGAGACTTCTTTGATCATTTTCTTGGCGAGGAGTTCATAGTTCTTTGCTCTCTCATTAGTTTTCACATAAATAAGTGGGAATTGTGAAACTGCAAAGAGGATCAGAGAGAGGTTAAAGCAGTGTCACTTGCATAACAGCTGACGCATGGTTTACTCAGACCAATATGTTTGCCTTTCAAAACGCGTTTGTGCTGCTTACAATAAGAGTGGAGAGATTCATTATTTCACTCCATTCAAAAAAAAAAAGAAGATCTTAAGAAGATGAGACAGATAAAGCATTTAACTGAAAGCAAATGCTTGGAGTTGCATGTAACCACGACTTCCTCCACTATTAATGTGACCTCATTTTTCAACATAATGCTCGGCCTTATCAAATCACAAATCTTTCAATTGGGAGAGTTTCGTGGTGGCAGGAAGTGACCGTTGAGACTGCAGCAGGAAGTGCGAGAAGCTTCTTTTCTTTATTAAGTGGCAGCACTTCAATTTGGGTACATTTTATAACTAAATTGCATTGCTAGAGAGGGAATCAACCACAAAAGAGACAACCAACAGAATTTCGGCTGGTGCTTTAAGCTGGGGGAGGCGGTTTATTTTTGGGCAAAAATTCCATAACAACATTTCAGCATAATGTAATTCAAGGGATCTGAGAGAAAAGTAGACTTCTGCACCTCCTCTTGGCTTTAAAAAGTCTAGCCCGTGACGGAACACTTTGGCCAATCACAGGTCACTTCAGAGCGAGGGGCGTTGCTATTGGCTGTTCTACGAACGCAGATGCGCTTCGGATGGTGAAAGCCTGATTCAGCAGAAAAAGTTGCTAATCCTTTGGCTACGGTTAGCAATAGACTAAACTTTTAGCAACATTTTCGCTCCATCTCTGAAACGCTTTGCCGATATTGTAGCTAGCTAGAGCCTTGAATCACAATGTGTCACCTGAAAGGGCTTCCAGGCCAGCAGCTATTAAGGTTAAATAGCCACACAAAATTTGACTCCTTTCGGTTAGTAGAATTAGCTGTGGGTACATTTAAACATTTACCCATGTTACACTAATTTGAAAGTTTGTGTTGGGGCTAACTTGCAAATCAGTGCCGGTAGTGATCAGATAATCGAATTGTTTTTACTTCTGTCGGTCTTTGTGTCAAGTATCGCATAAATTAATCCGTCTTTGAGGTTTATGATCCTACTAAATTGAAAGTCACATGCAATCAAACAATCAGTCAACCAGATACTCAATATATTCCTCGTTTCAATCCAATGCTGACATTCAGCGTAATCTCTGGCGCTTTAATGCATGTTTTATTGTCCTGTTTATTGCCCTGAGTATATCTTGCCGTATACTTGCATGTTTTATTCAGCCATGCAGATAAACGGGGTGGGAGTGCATTTCTGCTCGCCGTTCCAACCACTTTGCTCTCTGACTCCTGTCCAATTCTATATTCTGCCAGCTCGCCTCGCACACGCCCACACACACACACACTTACACAGTATGTGGTGTACACACCATCACACATGCAAGCACATACGTGGGGAGCACATATCTGCTACTCCCCCACAGTTATGGCCAGAAAACAGTTGTTTTTTTTGTTTCATTGTTTCATTTCCTTTGGCTGACGTTCAACTGATATCTGTCATGGGAGATGTTTCGGATACATTGTGAAAGCATTTGTTTGCATAGTTTGTGTGCATTCTCTTGTTCTGTCCTCTACACACACACACACACACACACACACACACACACACACAGATCTACATTGGTGCCAACTCTCATCCCGATGAAGCAAAGCAGGCCGATTCCACGGGTGCACCTACCTTCCTCTATAAAGAGGGGATTGCGATATAGAGACCAGCAGACCGATTCGACACAAACACAAACGGTCCGATGATGGAGTCAACCGGGTGTAGAAATTGGTTCCATTCACCACCAGCAGCCCCATACAAACCGGTGCTGTCAGTCAAGCATCTGCAAAGGAATAAAAGGGAATACATGTACACGCATGCAGCACTGAAGGCAACAGCATTGCAGTAGAAATACACAGAATATGCAGAAATGTGCTCACTCTCGGCACACACACACACACACACACACAGAAGTATTTAAACACACTGATTCTTTGTGGGAAGGCAGCGTCACCCCCTGCACACAGGCTAGTGATGAATAATAATGCTTATCTTTTCCCTCCTTTATTTCCATCGCTGCGTTCAATGAAAGCGGTCGGCATTGTTCATCCCTGCTGGACCATTAACTCGCTCATCATGTTTTGCATAGAGACAAAGAGGGAATGGCTTGATGCCTCAATTACCATGCTCCGGTGTTTGCAAAGACAGCCAGCCCCCGGTCACAGCTGGAGGGGTCTCGGTTACATCCATCTGCCCGCTCGCACAGACACATGCAAATGAGTCCCCTCAGCACACACGTGAAGGCGGGGACACGGCGGTCGCGCGCATTTAGAGGCATGCATTCGCATGGACGGCAGCCACACTTCATCAGTAAAGCTGGCTCATGTGTCTCACTTTTGATGGAAGGTCTGCATCGGCGGCAGGTTTGCTCTGCGTCCTTTTTAAGCATTTCTCTCCCTGTAGTCCAAAACACACCAGCAGCTTACTGGTCTCTTGTGAGACAGAATGCACCGTAGTCCGATTCGGAGGAGTACTGGTAGCCATCTTTTTCAGATATGTTTCTTCAGCTGGTGCGTCCGGGCTTCAGCACTGACTTCTTATCTTGCTTGGTGCTGCAGTATCATGTCTTTTACTTGGGTCTCATACCTGTGATAGTGGACAGGGGGACAGTTATTGAGGTATGACAGTGTCCAGACCTTTACAAGGCACCAGTCTCAGCCTTATAATGATATAATATGAAACGGGGCTAAACGAATTTGATTGCGATGGCTCATGACTAATATTGCAATTGCGGTATGATTTGCAATATTAGAGGGAATTATCATTTGTACAACATCATTCTTATTTTTATTGAAAAACATAAAAGTTAATCGTGATGTGATGTTTTGCGGAGGTCTTTAGAATATGATGTATAGGCCAGGACATCTGTGCAGCATCACAATATTTGATTTTAAATGGTATTTTGACACACATTTTATCTTTAGCGAATATCATCACGCCCCTGCGATTCAAAACAAAATTTGTATTAATTGTGCAGCCCTAATATTTAAAGACATTTTCTTAGCTTGAGGGAATGGCTCTTCTGACTCGCAGTCGAGAGGATTAACACCCAAAATATCCAGTGCAGCTTTCTAAATACTACGTTGTGTATTGTAGGAGTGCCGTGCCGTTGCACTTCTGATGCTACAGCTGCCACGTCCAACGTTTAATCATTCTGGGAATGAACGTGGAGGAAAATTACGATGGGACAAAAAAAAAATCTCATTGATACCTTATCTTGACACTTTGTCCCATCACTTACACACAAACACACAAACACGCGCACACAGAGTCCATTGGTGCCTGACAGACTTTGATAAAGCCAGAGTTCCAGGGCATTGCCCAAACATTCTCCAGGAAGCCCAGGCTTGACTGGCCAGTGCGGGGATTGTTCACCCTTCACCGGCCACACCGGCGAGCATGTGTGTGTGTGTGTGTGTGTGCGTCTTCTCATCGAGTGGGTTTCCTGTATGTCTGCGTCTGGCGAGTAAGTAACAAGTTATCAGCGGGAGATGGAGAGGAGATCAAGAAGAAAGATAGAGGCGGGAAGTAAAGCAGAGGGTCATTTCATAGGGCCATTCACTCATTCTTGGTGACACGGGGACAAAGAAAAAAGAACAGTGGGGTTCGGAAGAGGAAAGAAATGAGACGAAGGAGAAACGGGCATGCCAGGAGAAAAGGTCTCGAGCACTGTGGTGTAGTTTCCTGTGTTTCTCGTACAGATCAGTGCTTCCGTGTTTCAAGAAGCCCCTCACCAGCAGACACGGACATTTTCCATTTTAAATGTGAAAGCAGTCATTCCAAAGGGCCTCTGTGTCAGTTTTTGGAAATACGTTGCCAGTTATTATTCATAAGTCACGAATGAATAAGGGATCACTTTATCGTGGTTGATTCTTACGCCAAACCTAAAGCTGTGATGTCTTTACCTTTTTTGCAAGAAAAGGGAGGAAGTGCTTCAGCAGGGATCACAGCAGCTCCCAAAGCAATAAAAGAAAACGAAAGTGTTACCATTTTGAATCCTATAAACCAGAAGTCATATGACGGAATAAAACTTAAAGTGGTTTTGTGAAATTCCCCAATTTTCCATGTATTTTGCCCTACATACCTTTCTGCTGGCCTAATTCCTCTCTGCTTCACTCTCACCTGTCATCTACTATTCCATTCCCGCTGTCTCACCTATTATGCATTTTATTTCCATAACTGCACTTTATTTTTAGAGGAGGAGAGGTCGGGTGTAGGAAAGCGCAGGCAGTGAATAGGCTTCATCTACATGGCATCCGTTCCCTTTCTCTGCTTTAATGTGCCTGCACTCGTTGAGATGCATCGTGTATAAGTAGAAAAGAGCTCGAGCTAATTGTGTCAGCCCAAACCATGATGGCAACTTTCTATGGGATTTGCTGACGCAATATAGAATTATATAGAAAAATATAGAATTTGACTTGCGTTATTGTTTAATATTGCTATTCAGGGAAAATGTTCCTCTCTTATGTTTTGTAAATCTACCGATCCCAATAATTACAATTATGCATTCAAAATAAAAATACCGCACAAAGACAGATACTAAGATGACAATTCTTGCCAAATTTAACATTTGATGAGGCTGAGCTGACAGTGACAGAATTTGGCCGGGATCTTCAGCGTTTTTGGCGTCTTTGCATTTCTTCCTGCCATCTGGTTCTTCAGAAGTGTGAAATTCAAATTGGTCGTCAAGAGCATCAAATTGGAAGCCAATTCAGCGAAAGTGATTAAACTTTATAAAAAAGAAATGACAGGATATATTTTCAAAATAGAGAATCAATGTTTTCATAGTTTTTGCTTGTTTGCTTGGCAGCAGCCATCATGTTCCACTGGTTAGAATGATTTGGGAGAAAGGATTCTGTTCATCAATCCAAAGTTGTGTTGACTGACCATCTTTTTCAAGAATTGAGAAGAGCCAGAATTGACATTGGCCCTCCACCTCCCCTCCCCTTGTTTTTTTCCCAGCAGCGTCTGCTCGAGCTCCTCCAATGTAACTCCTGCTAGCGTGGTGCTGCTTTCGACCTCCTTCTCCACTCTTCCTCCTCCTCCTCCTCTTCTTTCTCCTCTTCCTCCCTTCACACAGCTGATGCCCAGGTACACTGGCATGCCTGCACTCCCCTACTCCCCTCCCTCCCCTAACCTTTCTTCTACTCTCTTCATTTCCTCCCAGTTGTCCTTCCATCTCTTCTCTACCTCTGCGCTTCTCTTTCTTCTTCCTCGAGCTTTCTTCATACCAAGAGAATGATAATAAGCCAAACCCAGTTCCCCTTTTCCTTCCCTTTTTGTCGAGCTGTTTGGCCATTCCACGTTAATATACTGTATATATACATATACATTTATCCTCAGTACTGTGCTCTACCACAGAATGATCTTGAAAATGTGATGGAGAGTCTTACCGTTGAATTGATACCCCAAAAAGAGCCCCCCTCCAAAAAGACCTGCTTTGCATCTGCTATTTCAATCTGTGACATTTCAACATTCAAAAGAAGAAATTAAATGAAGTCATGCGACTTTGTCTTCATTCAGCCCTGCCAATTATTTTTTTTCTCTTCCTTATTTTCCTTTCTCCAAGGCTTAGTCGCCTCCTTGTCCCCTCACGTCCTCCATGTCACTTGAAATTGTCCCCTTAAATCTACTATTTCTCTACTTCTGCATGCTGTTTAGCTCCACCTAACTCGTCCCTTGCCTCATCTCCAGCATCCATCCTTTCCCTGCACTGCCATCCTTTCCTCCTCTCTCTCCCTGCTTCTTCCTCTACCCCTCCCTGTGTACTTTATGGGCTATTCTGTGTGCCTCTTCAACTATGTCTCCTTCCTACCCTTCTGCCCAATTATCCTCTTATCCGTAACCTCCTATTTTCTTGTCATTTCCTCTGCCTCTCCGTCTCCCGACTTCCTCGCATTTCTTCTCAATGATTTATCCCCTGCATTGCCCTCATCCTCATGTCATGTTAACCATTTACTACCTTACATCTCTCCCCCAGTTGGTCTCTTGCATCTTGTTTGTCCTGGTACCGCCATGCCCTCCATCCTCATCTTTCTCCCTCCACCCCCCCCCCCCCCACCCCCCCTAACCGCTGTGCCCTCTTATCTATTCATTCTTGTCTCCTCTCCCCTGTCTGGTATCTCCTGCCCTGAGGATCTGTGCTGCATGTGTCTGCTGGTGTGTTTTGACAGACAGGGTCCTGACCTTGTCTCAGACCCTGCTGCTGCACAGTCTGAGGGATGTGTCAGCCTATCACGTACCCCCAATGCAAACACTCACATCAAATGCAAAAAACAACAACAACCCAATCCTTCAAACGCAAGCGTTTGCGCGTACATGTGCATAACCCCGCACGCATTTACTCACATGTGCATACTCGTAAAGTAGACTCATGCATCGGGCTCTCTGTGAACTCCCTCTCAGCTGTGCACTGGTTCTGTGTGAAGTGCTGATGTGCTCCGACAGTCGCATTAATGCACGGCTCCCTGGGCAGATATTATATTGAACACACACACACACACACGTCCAGGTCCGTAGACGCATGCATGGACGACCTCACCCGTTAACTCCCCCCTTTACGGACTGTGCACCTCAATGTCATCAGTCAAAGCTCACTTGCCAGACTGTGCCTGTCGTCTACGATCCCTGAAAACATAACCAGCCACAACTATTTATGTTACACGATCACTTGTTGATATGATGCTTGCAATTATATACACACAGGGGCATTTCAACATGGAGGGGGAGGGGGGGGATGGAGGGGGGTCTGTGGGTCCTCCCCCGGGATATTTTGAACATCAAACACATCATTTTCTGCATTGGTTTGATTTTTAATGGCTCAATTAATAATGGAAATGTCTTTATTTGTCTAAAAGAAAACACAAAATGTAATCGTATAATGAAATGGAATACAGTATGGTTCTCAGGCATTCTGTATTTCAAATATTTATTCTCCTGTAGATCCACTTTTTCATATTTAATGTTATTTAATGTTTAATCTTTTGATTAAAATGCTTTTGCAATTAATATCATACTAGTGGTGCGAACAATTGTCGGTATTCAGAAATGTGGTAGGGACGTACCCCCACAGTCCCACCATAAATCACACCCATGTAAACCCATGTGCAAACATATAAACCTCTAGACTATTTAAACTAAAATGCTCAAGTGCTGCAAAGTTTTTCTGAATGTATCTAGAGAAAAATTAAAAACAGTGTTTTTGACCTTCTATGTTCATATATATCTGGGCTGTATTGTGAAAATATTTCAGCACCACGTTTGTTAGTAGAACCTCTGATGCACTAAAAACTCAATTCCTTGGCTGCAACCCTCTTGTCTTGTTTTTCCATCCCTCTCTCTAATCCAAGGAAGCATGGTGTCCGTTCATCACTTGTTAATCTCTCACTAACAGTGTGTGTTTTTGTGAATTGTGCGTGTGTGTGTGTGTGTGTGTGTGTGTGTGTGTGTGTGTGTTTTAGCGTTAAAAGCCAAGTTTCCCTCTAAGCCGAAAAGCCATCAGCAGTCAGATCATAGAGAGCTCTTTCCTCTTTAGACCCCATGTGGTAGCAAGGGATGAGAGATAACTGTGTGTGCACATGCGTGTAGAAAGTGCCGCTGCCCATGTGTTTGTGTGCATGCGTTTGTGTGCGTGTGTATGTTCGTCTTTTTCCTTAAACCTCCATCAGGGTGAAACAACAATGGCGTATCAATTCGCAGCCTATCGGTGTGTATCTGTGACTCGCTCAGTCAAATCAGGCAGGATTTGCACTTATTCAGCCTCAGATCCTTCTGTTGCTCATCAGCGCCGTCGCATCGGGGGTCTTTCGGAACGCCTCTCCATCTCCACTGTCAATACTCTCGTCTTCTCTCATCTCACAGTTTTTGCACATTCATGTAATCTGTTGCGTTGCAAGATAAACAACGTCTGATGCTTGTATTTGTTTGTGTCTGCAATCTAGTGGGAAAAGAACTCTGTCTGATGCCTTTCTTTGTTTCTCTTTGCAGACAATGCGGCTACAGCAAAGCTTCTCAAGAGGGAGACGAGGAACTTTACTTCCAGTGTAAGTGACAGCGCTGATCACTCTGTTACTGTATAACACTGTGGGTGTTTTTGTTTGGGGGCGGGGGGTGAAAGCTGTCAATAAATGCTTTATCTGTCCTATTCCACGTGCTGGAATGCATGTCAACACGCGCATTTGCGTGCATTACACATCGACTTCTGAGGCATTAAGAAGTGCCACGGCATTAATTCTTAATTCTGAGTGCATGATCAGCCAACTCTGAGCACGCTGACGCACTCCATTAGATGGTGTGTGTGCGGCAGAGTTTGATGGGGAGAGATTGAAATCGGGAGGAGAGATAAGGGGGAGGGGAGAAGACGGGTTAAAGCTCCAGAACAAGGCAGGCAGCGGCAGAGATTGCACCTCCAATACAGATGTTAAATGTTGTTGTTGTACATGTTGTTGTTTAACTCCACTCACAAAGCTCTCAATAGGCTTTTTTGTTCAACAGCGACAGAATGGAAGCAGTATGACATCTCTCTTCCGGTTTCTGTGTAAGTGTGCGTGCCAATGCTTTGCTAGTGTGGTGGATGAATGTTATTTTAGAGTTCCCGTGTGTGTGTGTGTGTGTGTGTGTGTGTGTGTGTGTGTGTGTTTGTGTGTGTAAGGGAGGGTACCCGTGCGTGCGTGTTCGTGTGTGCGTGTTCATTTGCGTTGTTTAATCTCCCAGCATGCTGAGCCCTCTGGAGAGGTTTGGAGCACTATGCCTGATAAATAATGAGCCGGAGCCATGCGGCTGGGAATTAAATCTGCCCAAACAAAGACATGTCAACAGCTGACAAGCACGTAATACACACAGAAACATGTACACACACACACACACACACACACTTTTTCATTTTTGGCCCGCTTTTCAAACATACACTTACCCATACACTTTGTTGTAGTCTACTTTTTTGTAGAACACGGACACTTACATAAATAGGCACAAAGACATGTTTTTAGCACACACTCTCTAGGGTCCACTTCCTGTTCCGTGACTCTCACGGAGCTGCAGGTCTACCATGTAGTGAAAAATTCTCCTCCCATTTGTTAGCCTGCTAGACCCTTAAAAACACATCCCTTCACCATATCCAGTCAGGGCCGTAAGTATTTGGACTGAGACACAATTTTTCTAGTTTTGCCTCTTTACACGACTCCAGTGGTTTTGAAACTAATCAGTCAATATGTGGTTGAAGTGTAGACTTTCAGCTTTGATTCAATGGATACAACTAAAAAATCACAATAACCGTTTAGGAATTACAGCCATTTCTACACAGCCATCACCATTTACAGAGGCTCAAAAGTAATTGGACAAACTAACATAATTGTGAATATAATCATTATTTTTAATACTTGGAGGAAAATCCTTTGCAGTCAATGATTGCCTGAAGTCTGGCACCATAGACATCACCAGAAACGGTGAGTTTCCTCCTTTGAGATGCTTTGCCAGAGCTTTTACTGCCAATTTCTTTCGCCTAATAACGGCCTCCTTCACTTGCATTGACATCTTTTTGGTCCGCATGCTGAGTTCCAAGGACAAGCTACCAACTGCAAAAATAACATTTTGAATCCTATTGTCGGCATTATTTGTCATGAAATAGTGACAGAATAGACCTCATCTGGCCATGAAACCGTTTGTCACACAATTGTCCAATTACTTTTGAGCCTCTGTGAATGTGGGTGGCTGTGTAAAAGTGGCTAAACGGTCATTGTAATTTTTTTGTTATATCTATTGAATTAAAGCTGAGAGTCTACACTTCAACCACATATTGACTGATTAGTTTCAAATCCATTGGAGTCGTGTAAATAAGCAAAACTAGAAAAATTGTGTCATAGTCCAAATACTTCTGGCCCTGACTGTATTAACGCAGAAAGAGAGGGGGAAGAGTGAGTAAGTGAGTGTTGGAGTAATAAAGTAGAGGAGGAAAGAAGGGGAGAGGAGAGAGCGAGGGGGGGGGATGGAGGAACGGATCAAGACTCATCCCCAATCCGTTAATAGAGCACATTTAGATAGCAGCCAGAGTTCGATATCATGTAAGAGACAGATGGAGAGAGACGTGTCCGGGGAAATGAATGGAGAGAGATAGCGAGGCGTGATGAAGGCCTTTTGTTTAGAATGAAAATATATGAGGCTGGAAACGCTCACTCTGTGGTCCACTGAAGATTTATGCAGCCAAGTGTGAATATGCTTTAGTTTCCCCTCAATCGCTCATGACAGTGACACAGTTAACCCTGAAACTAATCAGCCACAGAGCCAATGAAGCGTGTGTGTGTGTGTGTGTGTGTGTGTGTGTGTGTGTGTGTGTGTGTGTGTGTGTGTGTGTCATACGTTTATCTGAGCATTTGACATGTGAGCGCCCCCTCGTGTGTGTGTGTGTGTGCGCACACACAAGCAAACCTGTGTATGTGTTGGATCAATAAGCCGTTATGAGGCAGCCAGTATATCCCTCAAGTCGATCTCGAGCTGTAATCACATTTCGGAGCCTCGTCCCGGCTTTTGGGAAAATGACAGGCCCTTTTCCTGGAAGGATAGCCTTAACATGCAGTAACCACGGTCAAAGGTCATCTAATTGACAACCGTAGTTCACCGGTTAATGGTTATTGGCCATCTGCTGGCTAGTTTATTTGCTAGTTGTTGGCATTCGGTAAATACAATTGGCAGTTGATAAAGAAACCCAGAGGCGAATGGAGGAATCCGGTAGTGCTTTTGTTTTGTTGTGTACAGTCAAACAATCGGGGTCAATATCACTTACAGTTTTAAATGTCAGCCGAAATTTGCAATCGCTGTGTCTCATCAGTGTCACGGAAGAGATTTTGTAGAGGTTCTTGGAAGACATTAGCCCTGGTAATCATTCCTTTGAGGATTGCATAAGGCAATATGAAATAATTCATCTTTTTAGAATTTATTACTCTAGGTTTGTATTTTAAACCCTTTTGTTGTGTGTTAACATGTTGTACAGCCCACAATTCATCACTTGCTAGGCTACTCATCAAATGTCACATGATGGATAGAGGACACAGAGTAATGCTATTAACAAAGAAGCAAGCCTCTGTGCCGTGGCACTTTAAAGGTTTTCAGCCTCAGAATTTGACTGTCTAGCCTGAAGATTATATTGCGTTTGTCTGCGCCTGTTATTTTGCATATGTGTGTGTGTGTTTAGTGAGATAACATTTTGAAGCATGCAGGAAAGACAAAAAGCCTGGTGGAAGAGCCCTGTGATCTGACTAAAGCCGCATGGAGGAAACCCAAAGTCAGATTTGAACACTCAAAGCCTTTGATCTTGGTTTTTCCTCTCCCTCTGGAGACGTGCAAGGTCAAAACGTACAAAAACAGAGAATTAGTAAAGTTATGAAAACATAAACGAGAGCATTTTGTATCTTTTTAAATGGAAAAAAAAAGAAGTCACCCAAAAATCAGGTGTTTTAAAGTATTTTTAATTTTGGATTATGTTCAGTTATTATAACCACCGATGAATGGCTAAACGTGTCAAACGGAGATGTTTAACGTAGGCCTACAGAGTGTGGTTTGTTACAGCTGTCTCAAACATCATTGGTAAAACTGAGGTATTGATTTTAGTCTCTGGATAAAAAAAGAGCATGGACATTTTGGGTCTTATGTTCAACAATCACACACAGAGGAATTCTTTATCGAAGGAGGCAGGGATACCAATTTCTCCACTGACTGTAGCCTCAATAGAGCACAAAGCGATGCAGACATGAGAAATGTTTTACTTTGTGTTGAGCAAGCGGCACCGCCAAGGCAACAGACGTCTCTCTTTGGTCAGCTATCCGTATTTATGGTATAATGCTATCTCAATCTGAGAGTGGCTCCTTTTATCTGGATCGTGCCTCATGTGGACGTTTTGCCGCTGGGGCTAGTGCCGACTTTTATCTTTTAATGTATTTCTTTGTGCAGACCAGCATGCGGACCACAAATCATGGGTTGCTGTCCTTGTTGATTTTTATGGACTATTGAACGCCTCACCATTCTGTTATTCTTAATCCTCTTCGTCCCTGATGGGGAATGCAAGCTTTGCCTCGCCCCATGTCCGGTCCACGTCTGGTCCACGTCTGGGCCGACCTCGATTCCTCTTTTCTGATGGAGTCCAAACTAGTAAGATAGTTTGTTACACAGTACCGTCATTAGAAACTGTTTGGAGAAGGGGAGGCTCTTTCAGAAAGATACTTGGTAGGTGATCGGATGGTGCGTCTGGAGTGGCAATAATGCACATCTCTTGGGTTTTGGAGGCACTGATGTTCAAGCCTAATGTTGTCTCGCCAGTGCAATTCATTTTTGTGAGGAATGACTCGTATTGCATGTTTGTGTGTGCAGTTAAGATCCCTACACGGAGGACCTACATTGACCCAGAGACCTGCGATGACCTGCTGCAGGCCGTGCACGCCTTTGCCAAAGAGCTGGACAACTCGAGCATCAAGATAGAGAGAATTGTGCACACAGGTACGTGATTGTACTGTACAGTACGGTAACAACGATGATCAAATCTCTGATGTTGCTCTTTTTAAAGGGGTACTTCGACATTCAGCATTCAAAGCAGCAAAAGATGAGAGATCCTGAGTTTCTTGATTGGGTCAAGCTCCTAATACACTCCGCTTAATGTTTCCCAGAAGGCAACTTTCGTTAGACCCTCCCTGCGTAGCGAATTCCCATGTCTTTCAAACTTCACATCCCAAGGTTACAAAGCTGAAGTTTCAAGCCCAATCCAGTTTTTTTTCAGACTTTAGAAAGAGAGACAGAAGCCATTCCACTAGTTTTCACTGGCCGAGTAGTACTCCTTGTGACGAGTAAAATGATCTAGTTTTAACTTGGTGTGCACAATTTCTACTCTGCCCCTTTGAATTCACAGCAGGATATTAAGCATTGCATTGGGTATAGAAGGATACAATAAATATGAGTGCATGGCACAGCAGAAATTGTGCATTTCCCTTTTTCTTCACCAGAAGCAAAACCATTTCCATTGTAAAATATGGAAAGAAGAGGCAAATGAAGCAAGCAGAGTAGAGAACCATCAACAGCTGCAGTTGCACTTTACCTCAACCCGCCTTGAGACAAATTGGAAAAACCAGTTCAATCCAGCTCCACTGTTTGCCTCGGCCGTACTTGATGTCCCATCAATCAATCATCAATAGAGGGATCATGTCCTCTGTTTGTCCGTCTCCCCCCTACAGGCGACTTTGGGGAGGTGTGTCGCGGCTGCCTGAAGCTCCCCAGTAAGAGAGAGCTGCCGGTGGCCATTAAGACATTACGGGCTGGCTGCTCTGACAAACAGCGGCGCTCCTTTCTCAGCGAGGCCGGCATCCTGGGGCAGTTCGACCACGCCAACATCATCCGGCTGGAGGGCGTCATCACCACCGGTAAGGAGGCTGTGGAGGGAGATCAAGCAGAACGCGAAAGGCAGCTTGGTGAGGAAGGCGAGCGTGTGAAGATGAAAAGAAGCACAGAAGGGGGAAAAATCCCAGGTATCCAAGGATCAAAGGAGGAATGGAATAGTTTGACCACTTCCAGTATCATAAAGGGGGTTCATCACCTCCATTACCGAGGAGGCAGGGGTGGGAAAAAGGGAAGTAGAACAGAATTGGAGTTTGACCATTTCAGCATCACATATGCTCAGGGGGTTACTACTTCTGGTAACTACGGAGAGAGATGAGAAAGAAAAAAAAAACAGGAATAGGAGCATGGACAGGAGGAGAGAGGATCGGGATGAGCACTGCGATACTCCACTTCAATATCACACGCGTGGGGGGGGGGGGGGCAACGCTCACAGCGTAGAGGGCGGGACGGGAGGATGGAAAAGAAGAAAAAGGTTGAATAGTAGAGAGGAAGGGTTGCGGGATGGATGCCATACGCCAGCAGCTGAGCGCCATCAAGGCCCATTTTCCGCTGACAGATAGCAATTGAGGTCCTAGAGCGAAAACAGGATGGAAGAAGTGGGATGGAGAGGGGGGGGGGGAGAAATGTGAAGGGAGGAAACGGAGGAAAGAGACGTGAGAGGCAGAAGTAGAGGTTAATGGGAATGGCAGGTGAAGGGAGAAGCTTTAAAGAGTTTGTGAAGTTTTTGTTACTGCCGCAGTGGTGTGTGTGTGTGTGTGTGTGTGTGTGTGTGTGTGTGTGTGTGTGTG